AAAAAAAAAAAAAAAAAAAAAAAAAAAAAAAAAAAAAAAAGGAGCAAATGAGATAGAGCATCTCGTCCATGAGAAGGCTAAGTGGAAAGATCCGCACCCTGCAGCTTGTAACCAATAACAAGACAAACTCCAGTGCTAACTTGTTCATGTAATCAACAATATGTGAGTCGAAATAAACTAGTGAGCTATACATTTTTGTCTACATACCAATTTATCGGTCAACAGGAGGGGAAGAAATTGCTCAAATGTGACTACTGTTAACAAACATGTTAACAAACATCTAAATATTAGACATAGTCTCTATTAAAATCGTAATCTATCAATTCTGAAGTCATTCCTTCAACTGCTGTTTTTAATTCACCCTCAAAAAACAAAAACAAAAAATAGCAGCCACCTTTAAAATGTAAATCCCTCCCTTTTTCAAAGTAACTTGCCTAGAAAAATTTAATGCGTTAAAATAAAACGTAACAGACAAACCAATTACAACATAAAAAAAAAAAAAAACTGAAATGATCAGTAACACAAACCAATCTCAACTTTAGCAAAGCGTGTGTTTTTCATCTGCTGTGGGTACCTATCCTATTACACTGATAACAACGTTTAAAACTCATCCCAATGCCTAAACCACAACCATACACATAACATACTGGTCCTTTACGGCAATAAGGCTTAAACTCAGACCATTTCCCCCTCCTGGCACACTGAAATATACGAGGGAAATCCAAGAAATCAGATATGTTAAGTGCCGGTATCTTCTTCCAGAGTCGAGTCAAACTCGTGCTTGCCTGCAAATGTCACCGTCCCATTAAGTCTGCAAATTCTCACTAGCGCTGGAGTACAAAGAGGCCTGACCACGGAAACACCTGTCCTAGCACCAGGAAGACACTGGGAAACGCAAGCCCCCTGAGTCCGCGCCGGCCCCAAAGCTTTGGCTGCAGCGATGGGGGGGTCAAAAGGTGGTCGCTGGCCTCGCGGATGCGGCGGACAGGGTCCCACACCCCGGCCCGCCTCCCGAGAACCAGGAAACCTGTCAGGCTGGCCGGGACCCGCCCTCCTCAGACCCTCGGCTCCAGCCCAGCGCAGCCCCAGCCCGCCCGACCGCCCCGGCCTCCCAGCTGCACTCAATCACCTCATCCCGCCCTGGCGGCCTCGCGGCCCCGCCACCTCCACCGCGCAGCCTGGATTCGGGCCGCCCCTGGGGCAGGAGAGCCAAGCCGCCTCCCCCCCCCGGCCCTGGCCCCGGCCCCGGCCCCGACCCCGTCCATTCCCCCGCAGCCCGTTCCCCGCCGGCCCAGGCCCGAGCTCCCGCCGCGCGCTCCCCTCCCTGAGCCTCCGCCCTCGCCCCAATGGCTACCTGGAGGCAAAGGCGGCGAAGCACTTCACCCAGGGTCCCAGGTCGCAGAAGGCCCGGTGCTCGGGGTCCCGCTCCTTCTCCCGCTCCACGTGGTAGGCGCAGATGGAGAGCAGGATCCCGGCGACGCACACGGGTGTCGGGCCACCAGCTCCCACTGCGGCACCCACACTCAGGAGGACTGGCCCCGCCATCCAGCCCCTTCGCCGCCACCGCCTCCTTCCACCTGCTTCCGCTTCCACCTCAGCAGCCGCCGACTGTCCGGGCCCGAACCAGCCGCCGCGCCCCATTGGCTGGGTCACTTGCGTGAAGGGCGGGGCCCGGGGTGAGGGGCGGGGCCCTGGCGGCGGGGAGTTAAGGGAGCCTTTGCCAGGAACCCGTAGCACGGATCCCATTGTGGATGGCTGGGTGAGCCCTCTGCCCCTCCCTCTGGGATGGCAACAAGTTGCCATCCTTTTTTCCTTTTCCATCATTATCACTTGATATTTCTGACACAATCCACATCACCCCTGGCTAATGCTTGGGGCACCTGAGCCACCCTCCTATGACCTGATCTTCCCACCACCACTTCCAGGCACTTTGTGTTCAACCTGTGCAAAACTTTTTTTTTTTAATGTGCAAAACTATGTTTTAAATTTAAAAACTATTTTTTAAAAATGATTTATGGGCCAGGCGCAGTGGCTCGCGCCTGCAATCCCAACACTTTGGGAGGCTGAGGAAAGCAGATCACTTGCGGTCAGGAGTTTGAGACCAGGCAGGCCAACACGGTGAAACCCCGTCTCTACTGAAAATACAAAGATTAGCTGAGCATGGTAGTGGGCGCCTGTAATCCCCGCTACTCAGAAGGCTGAGGTGGGAAAATCACTTGAACCTGAGAGGTGGAGGTTGCAGTGAGCCAAGATTGCACCACTGCACTACAGCCTTGGTGACGGAGTGAGACTCAAACCCAAAAAAAAAAAAAAAAAAAAGGCAGTGTGCGGTGGGTCATGCCTGTAATCCCAGCACTTTGGGAGGCCGAGGCAGGCAGAACACCTGAGGTCAGGAGTTCCAGACCAACCTGATCGACATGGAGAAACCCTGTCTCTACCAAAAATACAAAATTAGCCGGGCCTGGTGGCACATGGCTGTAATCCCAGCTACTTGGGAGGCTGAGGCAGGAGTATCGCTTGGACCCAGGGGGTGGAGGTTGCAGTGAGCCGAGATTGCACCATTGCACTCCAGCCTGGGCAAAAAGAGTGAAACTCCATCTCTAAAGTGTTTGATAAATATATTTATTCAATGTCTATTTATTGATAGTTTCATAGTTTTCTGGAGCTTTCCTTAATGAACCAAACAATTTCTTCCATGATGCATTGAATGAAAGGGCCTCTGAGCTTCAGGCATCTGAGTGCCCTACTGAGGGCAGTGACCTCCCAGACCTCCCTGCTTCCATGACGTGCAGTCAGAGCTGGAAGGAGACCCTAGAGAGATGTCCTAGTGAGAGTGAATCCCTGGAGACTGTTTCCTCTTCTTACCCACCCCATGATCCCAAAGCACACCCACCTCCAAAAGAACAGGTCGCATGTAGCAAAGAGGAGAAACAAAATAATTAGCATCCTCTTCCTTAACAAGGAGCTGTGGGGATGAAGTCTCCTAGAGTCCCCAGAATATAAATACCCTGCTGTGCCCCGGTCCCCCACTCACCTTTCCAGTCTTAGGGGGACACACATATGAGTCCTTCCCATAGACATCAGCCTCACCCCAGAGATCACAGGTGAGTAGCCTCTCATGCCCTTCCTGGGGGTTTATTGCTGACCTCAGGATCCTCTAGCAGTTGGTGGAGAAGGCGGCTTCCTGAGACCCTCCCCTTGGTGATGCCATCCTGGTGAGCAAATGAGGGATGGGGAAGGGATTGAGCTGGGGGTGGGGGTGGAGGAGTGGAGGAGAGGAATCTGTCTCCTTCTTGGATGCCGAAAGAGAGAGAGAAGAGACTGAGACCAATTCTAGACTCTCTGAGTGGACAAAGCACGCAGAGGGCAGACCCTCTGTGGCAGGACGTGTGGAGGAAAACTACTGAGGGTCTCCAGCTGCGAGACATTTGCACAGATAGGAGAAGCCTTGAAAAACAGGTGTCTCCAATGCAGCAGCTCCCCAGCTGTGGTCCCTGGGCTAGAAGCACCGGTATCCTCTGGGAACTGTCTAGAAGTGCCCTTGGGGTCATTCATCTCCTTTCTTGTACAGGCCTATCTATACGCTGGTTCTTATACCAGACACTTCAGAGAAAGGGCTTAGCTTTTTGTGTGCGATGGGTTTGGAGGGAGTTTTTTGTTTTGGTTTTTGCTTTCGTTTTTGAGACAGGGTCTTGCTCTGTTGCCCAGCCTAAAGTGCAGTGGCATGATCATAGTTCATTGGAGCCTCGACCTCCCAAGCTCAAGTGATCCTCCCACCTCAGCCTCTCGAGTACCTGGGATAACAGGCACATACCACCATACCTGGAACTCACAAACTTGAGGGATCCTCCCACCTCAGCCTTCCGAGTAGCTGAGACTATGGCTGCCTGCCACCATGCCCAGAAAATTGGTTTTTTTTTTTTGTAGATCCGGGGTGGGGTGGAGAGGGGTGGTCTCACTTTGTTGGCCAGACCAGTCTTGAACTCCTGGTCTCAAGCAATTCCCCCACTTCAGCCTCCCAAAGTGCTGGCTCACAGGTGTGAGCCACCATGCCTGCCAGCTTTTTGTGTCTTAACAAACCCTCCAGGAGACCCTGAAGCACGTTCAAGGTTGAGAACCACTGCTCTACGCAACCCAAGTCAACAAGTGAGGACTGTTACAAATACATTGGCAGGACGGGAATCACAGTATTCTTTGCAACCTAGAGAAAACCAAGCATTGCATTGCAAAAACCTCAGATCCAACGCTAAAAAGCCTTGAAAAGTAACACAGGGCTTTGCTGAAGGTCTCTCAGGGTTACCAAGGAGATTATGATGCTAACCTTCCTTAAAAACCTTTTTCATCATTTCATCGACCTCGAAGTGCCCTGCTTCTTGTGGCAGCTATTTTTATTTTTCCGTGACTCTCACAACACCTTGGGGTCGTTCATATCCTGTCTTGTACAGACCTATCTATAGGCTGTGTTCTCCATTTACATTCTGATCCCGCTTCAGCAAGCCTTAAATCTTGCTGAAGATTTAAGGGAGATAAGAATTGTAAATGCTCATGGCCATGCAGGGTGGGTCACACCTGTAATCCCAGCACTTTGGGAGGCTGAGGCAGGCTGATGGCATGAGGTCAGGAGTTCAGGACCAGCCTGGCCAACATGCCAAAACCTCATCTCTATTAAAAATACAAAAATTTTCCCAGCGCGGTGGCTCATGCCTGTAATCCCAGCACTTTGGGAGGCCGAGACGGGTGGATCACGAGGTCAGAAAATCGAGACCATCCTTGGTAACACGGTGAAACTCTGCCTCTATTAAAAATTCAAAAAATCAGCTGGGTGTGGTGGTGAGCACCTGTAGTCTCAGCTACTCCGGAGGCTGAGGCAGGAGAATCACTTGAACCTGGGAGGGGAAGGTTGCAGTGAGCCAAGATTGCGCCACTGCACTCCAGAGTGGTCAACAGAGCGAGACTCCATCTCAAAAAAAAAAAAAAAAAAAGCATGCCTGTAATCCCAGCTATTTGAGTGGCTGAAGCACAAGAATCACTTGAACACAGGAGACGGAGATTGCAGTAAGCTGAGATTGTGCCACTGTACTCTAGCCTGGGTGGCAGAGTGAGACTGTCTCAAAAAGAAACGTGTAAATGCTTGCAATTGAATATTTCCCTTGCACGTGTTGACAGCACAGAGTTTAGCTTCGAAATGCCTCACAAAGAGGTGAGAGTGACCATTCATAGTGAGGCAATGGAGTATGAGAGAGTGAAAATAAATCTAAATTCAAAGGCAAGATCAGGCACTTGCAAGCCGAGTGCTCCTGGTAGCTCTCTCAGCCCCAGTCTGCTCATTGTAAATTGTAGCTAACACAGTCTCCCAGTCAGAGTTATGGTGAGGCCTATGCATTAAGAAACTGGCTCCTGGCCAGGCGTGGTGGCTCACGCCTGTAATCCCAACACTTTGGGAGCCTGAAGTGGGCGGACCACAACGTCAGGAGTTCGAGACCAGCCTGGGCAATATGGTGAAACCCCATCTCTACTAAAAATAAAAAAATTAGCTGGGCATGTTGGTGTATGCCTGTCATCCCAGCTACTCAAGAGGCTGAGGCAGGAGAATCGCTTGAACCCAGGAGGTGGAGGTTGCAATGAACCAAGATCACACCACTGCACTCCAGCCTGAGTGCCAGACTGGGACTCCACCTCAAAAGAAAAAGAAAGAAACTGGCTCCTCATCAGGGTAATGCATGCTGGGCTGAATATCTAGGTTCTGGGTTGATAGGTGCAGCAAACCACCATGGCACACATTTACCTATGTAACAAACCTGCACATCCTGCACATGTATCCCAGAAATTAAAATAAAATGGGCCAGGCGTGGTGGCTCATTCCTGTAATCCCAGCACTTTGGGAGGCCAAGGTGGGTAGATCATGAGGTCAGGAGATTGAGACCATCCTCGCCAATGCAGTGAAACCCCGTCTCTACTAAAAATACAAAAATTAGCTGGGCATGGTGGTGCGTGCCTGTAATCCTAGGTACTTGGGAGGCTGAGGCAGGAGAACAGCTTGAACCAGGGAGTCAGAGGTTGCAGTGAGCCGAGATCGTGCTACTGTACTCCGTCTCAAAAAAAAAGAGAAGAAAAGACAGTGAAAAATCACACAAATGCCATTCAAATAAAAATAGAAACCTAGAGATAAAATGACATAACTTATACCTTCTCTCTGAAGGCACTTCTCAAATCAGGAAAATGTGAAACTCTGTTTTAATGTTTTTGTGATTGCAGGGGAAAAAAACCAAAAACTCTAAGCCTAGGAATGATACAAGCAGGGAAAATGGTAAAAAGCTCCTCCTTGCATATGCGGAGCCCTCAAAAGACTACATCTCTCAGGGTGAGAGGAAAGTAAAGCAAAACAGTTTGCAGTATGATTTCAGCTTAAATTTAAACTGCCCGGGAGACCTTGTCCAGCACGAGCCTAGAGTGTCATTAAGCATAAACCTCAACCAGCAGTCCGCCAAAGACTCCTCCCTAGAGAAAGCTGACTTCTTCTGGCCAGGCACTGTGGCTTACGCCTGTAATCCAACACTTTCAGTGGCTGAGGTGGGCTGATCACTTGAGGTTGGGAGTTTGAGACCAGCCTGGCCGTCATGGCGAAACCCTGTCTCTACTAAAAATACAAAAATTAGCCAGGCATGGTGGCATGCACCTGTAATCCCAGCTACCTGGGAGCCTGAGGCAGGGGAATCGCTTGAACCCGGGAGGTGGAGGTTGCAGTGGGCCAAGATCACGCCACTGCACTCCAGCCTGAGTGACAGAGCAAGACTCTGGGGGGAGAGAGAGAGAGAGAGAGCTGCCTTCTTTAAATCCTACGAATATTATTTCAAATATGCAAATATGTCATCCAATACCAGGTAAAGATAACCAAACACTGACCCCATGACAAAAATGACAGGTGTCATAATAGATACAGATACACCCAATGATCGGACACACTTAAGACAACCAGGCTTAGTATTGTTTAATAAGCACAGTCATTTAAGAATTATGAAAACAATGAAGAACCCTAAGATGAGAGAAAAAAAAAAAACTGGGTATATTAGGAGATGAGAACTGAGGTCGGGGTGGTGGGAGTGTAGTGCCACTCTGGTTTTCCTCGGTGACTCAGACCCTCGAACCTGCCCCTTAGGTGCCTTCTCAGCCCTGGTCCCTCTCCTGCTCTAACACCCACCATAGCTCCCTATGGCCCACAGGATGAAGTCCAGACCTGGGCCCTAGGAGAACCCGCCCTCAGCACGGGGGTGGGGGATGTGGATGGGGGGCACTGCGCTCACCCAGAGAGGCTGTCAGGGTCTTAGCTCAGAGACACCTCCCGGCCTTCTCCCAGCCAGGCCCTGGATCCCTGCAGTCCTCCAGCGCCCCCTGCTGGCTGTCCGTGGGACTCAGGCACAGAGGACAGCACAGAGGTATTCCCGGGAATCTGCAAAGGTATGTGAGGATCCCTCCGGGTGGCTCCGAGACCCGACAGTAGTGGGTCACTGCAGGTCCGCGCTCAGGGGCTCCACCCGTAGCCAAAGTCCATTCTCTGCGCGAAGGACCAGCTCCAACTTCCTGCGGAGCTCCGCGTGGTCCGGCAGGACGCGGAAGTGCAGCAGCATGAGCCCCAGGACCACCTTCATCTCAGCCATGCCGAACGCCTGCCCGATGCAGTCCCTGGGGTAGAGGGTGGGGACTCTGAATGTGCCCAGGACCCCCATCCCGGCCTCGTAGCGCCGGGAACCTGGCCTGGGACTCCTAACCCCACCCAGATCCAATTGAGGGCCAGAGAGAGGGACCCCGTGCCTGGGACCCCCATGTGGGCTTGCATATCCCCCAAGCTTGGCCTAGACCAGCAGAGGTAGGAATGGAGAAGTCTGAGAACACACACCCCTCGTTTTCTGGGATCTTATTCAAACCCTAGACCCCCTGAAACACATGAACCGACAACTCAGACCTTGCCACCACCTTGCCGCCCCCTCATCCCATGCCCACCTCAGAAGCCCCTTAGCCTCACCTGTTCCCTGAGGAGAAGGGAATAAAAGCTAGAGGTGACCTCTTCTGGGGGTTTTCTGAGTTGAAGCAAAAGGGCTCATAGACCTGGGGGATGGGGCAAGTTAGGGCTGATGGGTGGGGGTCTCTCAGGACACCTAGCCACCCCCATAGAAGACAGATGTAGGTGGAGTAGGTGGGGGATATCTGCTTCCCAGGCACAAGATCCCTCCCTGATCAGGCCCCAGGGATGGAGAAAGGGGCAGGGGATAGCACCTCAGGGTCCGGCCAGACTGAGGGGTTGTGATGGACCCCAGTGATGCTGATAGAGAAGATGCTCCCTGTTGGGGAGGAGGTGCAGTCAGCACAAGGTCCCTGCCACACAATGGGACCCCGGCCCTGCCCAAGGCCCTCCCCCACTGCCCAACGGTGGGCACCTTTGGGGATGACCCGGCCATCTGGGAGCACCACGTCCTGGATTGCGGCGGGAGATCAGGGGCACTGGGGGATGCAGCCGCAGGCTCTCCTTCAGGCACATGGCCAGGAAAGGCAGCTGGGCTGGGTCGTCCCTAAGGAAACACCCAACAATTATCCAGGGAGCAAACACATCCCACCTGCTGCCCAGAGAGACTGTCACACCAACTTGTAACCTCCCAGTGGATTCACCTTGCCCACTGCCTGAAAAGAGCCCATTTATCAAGATAGGGGGGTCTTTTCAGGAAAGGGCTGTTATAAGTTTTGTTTCAAAGTCAAACCAGGAACTGAATTCCTTCCCAAAGTTAGCTCAGCCTATGCCTGGGAATGAACAAGGACAGCTTAAAGGTTAGAAGCAAGATAGAGTCCGCTGGGCACGGTGGCTCACGCCTGTAATCCCAGCACTTTGGGAGGCCGAGGTGGGCAGATCACCTGAGGTCAGGAGTTCGAGACCAGCCTGACCAACATGGAGAAACCCCATCTCTACTAAAAATACAGAATTAGCCAAGCTTGGTGGTGCATGCCTGTAATCCCAGCTACTCGGGAGGCTGAAGCAGGAGAATCGCTTGAACCCAGGAAGTGGAGGTTGTGGTGAGCTGAGATCGAACCACTGCACTCCAGCCTGGGCAACTAGAGCAAAACTCCATCTCAAAATAAATAAATAAATAAATAAATAAATAAATAAATAAAATAAAAGATCCACCAGGCATGGTGGTGTGTGCCTGTGGTCCCAGCTACTCAGGAGGCTGAGGTGTGAGGATCCCTTGTGCCCAGGAGTTCAAGGCTGCAGTGAGCTATGATCATGCCAGTGCACTCCAGCCCGGGCCATAAAGTGAGAACCTATCTCTTTAAAAAATACCAAGTAAAAATAAAAGCTTGAAGAAGATAAATCAAATCTACCAGATACTATGATCTATTACAAAGGTATAGCAATAAAAATGAAACAAAATACTTTTTTTTTTTTTTTTTGAGACGGAGTTTCACTCTTGCTACCCAGGCTGGAGTGCAATGGCGCGATCTTGGCTCACCGCAACCTCCGCCTCCTAGGTTCAGGCAATTCTCCTGCCTCAGCCTCCTGAGTAGCTGGGATTACAGGCACGCGCCACCATGCCCAGCTAATTTTTTGTATTTTTAGTAGAGACGGGGTTTCACCATGTTGACCAGGATGGTCTCGATCTCTTGACCTCGTGATCCACCCGCCTCGGCCTCCCAAAGTGCTGGGATTACAGGCGTGAGCCACCGCGCCCGGCCAACAAAATACTTTTTAAAAGATAAATGAGCTGGGCATGGTGGCTCACGCCTGTAAACCCAAGACTGTGGGAGGCTGAAGCAGGCAGATTGCTTGCCCAGGAGTTTAAAACCAGCCTGGGCAAAATAGTGAGACCTTGTCTCTACAAAAAATACAAAAAATTAGCCAGGTGTGGTGGCACGCACCTGTAGTCCCAGCTACTCAGAAGGCACGAGCCCGTAGTCCCAGCTACTCAGGAGGCTGAGACAGAGGAATCGCTTGAATCTGGGAGACGGAGGTTGCAGTGAGCTGAGATCATGCCACTGCACTCCAGCCTGGAGAAAGAACAAGACTCCATCTCCAAAAAAAAAAAAAAAAAAAAAAAAAGTTAAAAGAAGATAACAGAATAGACATTTTTGTGACTTAGGAGTAAGAATTCTTAAAACCTCAAAAGCACAAAGTGGAAAATCAAAAAGGAAAAGGATAAATACACATGAAAATTAAGGGTTTTGTGTGATAAAGAACACCACGGACCAAATGAACATTCAGATTCAAAGATGTATACAATATCTAGAATACAAGGAATTCCTGCAAAATAACAAGAGAATGAACAGGTGATCCAAGAGGAAAGTAGACAAAGAATATGATCTAAGAAGTCATGGATGCTCAAATACATGAGATTTAATCCATTTATGCCTGAGGTTGCAATTTTTTGAATTTTGAAAATCAGACCTTGGCAATGACCTGGAGCAGTAGGATATGAATAACTTCTACATGCTTCGTGTTCCAATAATGGAAGACTAGGCATAAATGGGACAATAAGAAGAGGTGCTCAGGCTAGGCATGGTGTAATCCCAGCACTTTGGTAGGCCAAGGCAGGCGGATCACCTGAGATCAGGAGTTTGAGACCAGCCTGGCCAACATAGTGAAACCCTGTCTCTACTGAAAATAGAAAAAATTGTCAGGCGCAGTGGCTCACACCTGTAATCCCACCACTTTGGGAGGTCAAGGCAGATGGATCACGAGGTCAGGAGTTTGAGACTAGCCTGGCCAATATGATGAAACCCCGTCTCCACTAAAAATACAAAAAATTAGGCAGGTGTCTGTAATCCCAACTACTAGGGAGGCTGAGGAAGGAGAA